ACAATTCCAGACTTCAAGCTGTATTACAAAACTTCAATCATCAAGACAGTATGGTACTGATACAAAAAGAGACATATTGTCAATGAAACAGAATACAGAACCCAGAAATGGACCCAAAAAAAGTATGGCCAACTAATCTTTGACAAAGCAGAAAAGAATATCCAATGGAGAAAAGTCTCTTTAGAAAATGGTATTTGGAAAACGACATGCAGAATGGACCTGGACCACTTTCTTCCAGCATGCACAAAAGTAAACTGAAAATGGATGAAAGACCTAAACCTAAGACAGGAAGCCATCAAAATCCTAGAGAAGAAAACCAGCAACATCCTCTATGACCTTGGCCTCAGAGAATACTTACTTGACATGTCTCCAGAAGCAAGGGAAGGAAAAGCAAAAATGAACTATTGCTTCTGTACAGTGAAGGAAACAATCAGCAAAACTAAAAGAAAACCAACAGAATGGGAAAAGATATCTGCAAATGACATGATCAGATAAAGGGTAAGTATTCAGTATCTATAAAGAACTTATCAAACTCAACACCACCCCAAAAAACAAATAATCCAGTGAAGAAATGAGCAAAAGACATGAATAGACACTTTTCTAAAGAAAACATCCAGATGGCTAATAGACACATGAAAAGAAGCTCAACATCACTAATCAGGGAAATACAAATCGAAACCACAATAAGATACCATCTCACATCTGTCAGAATAGCTGAAATTAACAACTCAGGCAACAGCAGATGTTAATGAGGATGTGGAGAAAGAGGTACACTTTTGCAATGCTGGTGGGAATGCAAATTTGTGCACCCACTCTGGAATACAGTGTGGAGGTTCCTCGAAAAATTAAAAATAGAACTACCATATGACACAGAAATTGCACTATGAGGTATTTATCCAAAGATACAAATATGCTGATTCAAAGGGGCACACCCACCCCAATGTTTATAGCAGCACTATCAACCATAGCCAAAGTATGGATAAAGAAGATGTGGTATATATACAATGGAATATTACTCATCAATAAAAAAGAATGGAATCTTGACACTTGCAACAACATGGATGGAACTAGAGTGTATTATGGTAAGTGAAATAAGTCGGAGAAAGACAAATATCATATTATTCCACTTATAATGGGGAATGTGAGATTTAAGAAGCAAAACAGATGAACATATGAGAAGAGAAGCAAAAATAAGATAAAAACAGAGAGAGAGAGAAACCATAAGACACTCTTAAATACAGAAAATAAACTGAGGGTTCCTGGTGGGGTGATGGGTCAAGGAATGGGCTAAATGTGAGATGGGCATTAAGGAGGGCACTTGTTGGGAAGAGCACTGGGTATTATATGTAAGTGATGAATCACTAAATTCTATTCCTGAAATCATTACACTATATTTTAACTAACTTGGATTTAAATCAAAAAAATAATAATATTTTCTTAAAAATCAAATAAAGGAAGCTAGATCCTACGCTTCCATCAGCTTCCATTAGCTCAGAGCTTCCATCAAGATAGAGCTGTCCGCCTACCAGGTAGTGCCTCCCCCCAGAGTTTTATCTCAGGTGTGGCAGTGATTCAAATCCCCACCCTTCAGAGACTTCTGAGATTTGGACACTCAGTAATCCTCTTGTTGGGGCGAGGGGGTCTCGCAGCACTATGGTTGATGCTCGCTTGTCTCAGGAAATGTTCACGCAACTGTGTAGAGACAGCAGCTCAGAGTTGGTGGTAAATCACAGCACACAGCTGGCGCCAGGGTTTGCTTCTCTCAGCCTGTGTCTTTGTTCCTATTCAGGTGAATGTGGCAGCCCAATGTTGCCTGCTGGGTCTTTTGCCCATGGAGAAGCCATTTCAACCTCTACCAAATGTACTCCAAGCAGTGGAACCACTTCTCCACATGTGACCTAGGGAATCCTCAGACCACACGCTTCGCTCCCAGGATTCTACCCTGCTTCCTCATCAGAGTATGATCAGGCACTGATCTCTGAAACTTCAGACTCTGTGCTCCGCTGTTTATTAAAAAAAAAAAATTGGCAGTATTGAAACCCTCTCTTTTTTCAGTGGTTTTCAGGAACAGTTTTCTTGTGCAGTCACCTGTGTGTGTTTTCACTTTCTCTCTAGTTGCTTTCACGGTTAGTGCTTTCTTGTGCAAACCCAATCTGCTGCTCTTTCTTTCTCTTTTTGTCCTCTCCGTGAAAAGGGCTCCCTTCCCTCTGTAGCATCAGAGTTCTTCTATCCCCCAATGCCCCGCTGCACACCACGTACCTGCTACATTTTCTCCTTCAAATTATGCAATTTGTTCTGTTAATCCTCAGATCATTTTCCTAGGTGTTCAGAATGGTTTGATGTTGATCTAATTTGTTTGAGGGATGAGACAAGCCTAAGGTCCCCTTACTACTCTGACATCTTAACTCATACTTTTTTCTTTTATTAAAAAAAATTTTAATGTTTAATTTATTTCTGAGAGACAGAGAGACAGCATGAGCAGGGGAGGGTCAGAGAGAGAGAGGGAGATACAGAATCTGAAACAGGCTCCAGGCTCTGAGCTGGCAGTCAGCACAGAGCCCAACTTGAGACTCGAACCCATGAACTGCGAAGTCATGACCTGAGCTGAAGTCGGACTCTTAACCAACTGAGCCACCCAGGCGTCCCACCTAGTTTTTTCTTTAATAATACTGATATGTCTATAAAAATGACAAAGTTCTATAGTTCTGCATTTTGATTATTCAATGTACTATATATACTAAAGAGGATAAATGATCTTCATGAAAAAGTAATTGTGATATCATTGTTACTTTAAATTTTGATTGTTCTTATACAAATAATTTTTGTAACACTAGTTGAAATTAAAGATCTAAACATGAATTTAGCATTTAATCCTTAAAATGATAAAATTAAACATAAAGGAAGGAATAAAATATTATCCAAGTGTTGACACAAAATTTTATTGCTCATATAATAAACATCATTTGGGGTACCTGGGTGACTCAGCTGGTTAAGCATCTGACTCTTTGTTTCAACTCAGGTCATGATCTCACAATTCATGAGTTTGAGCCTGGCATTGGGCACAGGGCAGAGCCTGCTTGGGATTCTCTCTCTCCCTTTCTCTCTGCCACTCACCCCCTAGCTCTCTCTCTGAAAATAAATAAATAAACCTAAATGTTTTTAAATAAACATCATTTAACCTGTAAAACTGAAATACTGAAAAAATTTCTCTAAATTGAGCACTTAATTATATATAGTGTTAACTTCTTAATAGGAATTTTCAAAATATTTATATGATAAAGAATATACCTATTAATTTTAGTTTCAAAACAATTAAAACTTCCTTCTGTTTTTACTGAAGGATAATTATCTATCTCATACCGTCTACTTTGAATCCATTGATGTATGGATGTCACCCAAGATTGAATCAATGATTAAATTAATTCTAGATCTGTTGGTGTCCAACTATAGAAAAGATAAAGAGATGAAGCAGCATACTCTATTAGTATGATATTTCATGTACACCAATGATTGGAAGTTCTGATGAAAATGAGCAGGTTAACGGGTGGAAGGGTGTATACACACACACACACACACACACACACACACACGCCAAGAGTTTATTGCCATATTCTTAAGAATAGAGAAAGAGTATTCTTAAAATGTCATTGTAAGTTGTTTCAAATCTTGATCAATCAAGTCATTAGAATGAACTGGAGAACAATGACTTTTGTCAAAAGCGAAACAAATTTTGTGGTAATACAAGAGAGATTTAAGTTAGCCTAAAGTGCTTTTCACTGTTGAGTAACCTAGAAAGAACATTAAGTCCATAGCTATTTCCTATATACCTGCCCTAGGAGAACATACATATTTTCCTGCTGGGTATACCACATATTTATGAATCCCAACAGTTTTCTTTTCAAAAAAATTAAGAGCCTCTAATTTATGAAAAGTTGTGTTTCCAAGCAAAAAGTCTTCTAATACTGAATTTAAAAATGATAAGGAAATGATGTAAGTAGTGACTAGAATTATGACATAGTGAACATTCTTTTACATCAGTGTTACCAAGGAGTTGTAAGCCACAACAGTACACTTCATTTGGAGGACTTGCCTAGCACCAAGAGGTTCTCTCTTGGGTATCCTCTTTCTCTACCCTCAAAAGAATCATATTTTTCTTTCTGATTTTTTTCCAAGTGTTTATGGAATCAAGAATCTGGACTAATCTACCATACTTTATCACTTGTAGCCATCTACACATGGAGTATGTGAACCTGGAAAGTATTTTAAGTTTAAAGGCTTGGGTTTGAAGCTTTGGATTATGTTTAAGATATTTGGTTTCAGTATCTAAGTTAAGGTAAATAGCTATATTCCTATCCCTTTTAAAGGGGTCTAGTTAATTCTTACAGCCTTCTAATCCATTTAAAGTCATATTTGGCAGTTAACATCATAGATTGGAAATTAACTGAATTTGATCTGAGTCCATCAAATGACCAATGACTTGTTTAACTAAACTATTCTTCACACTGTGAAATAGAGCTATCTTCACTTGTTTTCATGAGTGAAGAGTGAACAAATCTCTATACTTCGTATATTTTTATTTATGAAGAGCAATGATTATTTTGAAATGTTGCCATAAAAACAATATTAGTTAGGTAAACATTTTTGGAGAGAAAAGTTATTTAAAATGGCTTTGATAAGGACTATTTAATCAGGTTTTGTTTATCAAAATCACTACTTTGGGGGCGCCTGGGTGGCTCAGTTGGTTAAGCGTCAGACTTTGGCTCAGATCATGATCTTACAGTTCGTGAGTTTGAGCCCTGCATCGGGCTCTGTGCTGACAGCTCAGAGCCTGGAGCTTGCTTTGGATTCTGTGTCTCCCTCTCTCTCTGCCCCTCCCTCACTCGTGCTCTATCTCTGTCTCTCAAAAATAAATAAGTGTTAAAAATATTTAAAATCACTACTTTGACTTCATTTGTTTAATTTTTCACTTTCACTTACTGTGAAAGCCAATCTTTTTAGACATGGCTGAACACGGGCTTGCACCTACTCTTACTGAAATACCTCCTATAGTTCCAGTTATCAATGGGGACCCCATGCGTCAGGTAAGGATAGTTTTGCTTAATTTTTCATTTTAACTGGACAAACTTTTCTTGAATCCAGCATTGGTTGCTATTTGAAAAAAAATGTATCATTTTTATGATTGGTCACTTAGTTTACTAGTTTCTAATCTTTTCACCAACATTGATATATCTTCCTTGTAGGCCTTTTAAAGTCCCCTTAGAGACATTTAATATTACCTTAAGCCACATACAACCTCTTTTTAAGTTGCTTTAGCTGCCTTTTCAGCCTCCGTTGATCAGCTAAAAAATCCTGGTGTTGAAAGTTTATACCGTCTGAAGAACAGTTTAACAATATGACTCTAGGGGCACCTGGGCGGCTCAGTTGGTTAAACATCCGACTTCGGCTCAGGTCATGATCTCACAGTTTGTGTTTGAGCCCCGCACTGGGCTTTGTGCTGACAGCTCAGAGCCTGGAGCCTGCTTTGGATTCTGTGTCTTCCTCTTTCTCTGTCCCTACCCCACTCATGCTCTGTCTTTCTCTCTCTCTCAAAAATGAATACACACATTTGTAAAAATTTAAAATTATGACTCTCAAGCAGGCTATTTTTTTCATATTCATTCACAGCTGTAAGTTCAACTTTCTAATATTTAAAAGTAACTTTTTGAGCTGCAATGATTTCTACCTACAGGACTGATCTCAAGAAAGAAAGAGTGTGGTTTAGATATAACATTTATTCATTTAAATTTTTATAATGTTTATTTATTTTGGAAGGAGGGAGAGATAGAATGTGAATGGAGGAGGGGCAGAGAGAGAGGTAGACAGAATCTGAAGCAGGGTCCAGGCTCTGAGCTGTCAGAACAAAGACCAATGCGGGGCTCAAACCCATAAACCACAATATCATGATCTGAGCTGAAGTCAGGCATTTTACCAACTGAGCCACCCAGGTGTCCCTAACATTTATTCATTTAAAGTAATCTATTCAAGGGGCGCCTGGGTGGCTGAGTCAGTTGAGCTTCTGACTCTTGATTTCAGCTCAGGTCACAATCCTGGGGTGGTGGGATCAAACCCTGCACTGGACTTCTCACTAGGTGTGGCGCCTGCTTGGGATTCTCTCTCTCCCTCTAAAATAAAATATAAAATAATTTTAAAAATCTATCCAAGAAAAGTCTTATCTGCATATACAATGTGAAAAGATCACTTAACTTTTCTCTGGAGTTCACAAAAAGTAAATATTGTACTTCTGACTTATAATTTGGCTTGACAACACCATATCAAAAGGAACTGAGATAAAAATGATCATATTGAAATTAAAAGTCATTTTTTTACTAGATGGGGAATTACCATCTGGACACCACTGTTGGAATACAGTATACTACAAATTATTCACAAATGATGACTCATTCTAAGAGAAATACAAGATGGCCTTCTTGTCCGCAATACTGGATACAACAAGTATGTCTGAATTTTACTATCAGATAAGTTTTGTTTTCTGTTTTTTTTTTTTAGATTTTTTTTTTTTACTGGAGAGTGGGTGTTTGTCTTTCCATGTCAATGCACCTATTCTCTATGACCTTATCATATTAAGTTTCACTTTGGTGGGGGAGGACTCATTACTTAGGGATATTGAATTTCTCCTAAGTGCTCTATTGATCCAATTGCACTCTTCTTCTTGAGCATTTCAAAACCTCAATAGTTAGTGAGTCTGGATATTTCTCAAAATGACAATAATGAACCTCCATACTGTTTTCCAGAGTGGCTGCACCATTTTGCATTTCCACCAACAGTAGAGGAGGGTTCGACTTTCTCCACATCCTCACCAACACCTATTCTTTTTTATGTTGTTAATTTTAGCCATTCTAACAGGTGTCAGGTGATAATTCGTTGTAGTTTTGATTTGTATTTCCCTGATTATGAACGATTTTGAGCATCTTTTCATGTGTCTGCTGGCAATCTGGATGTCGTCTTTGGAAAAATATCTATTCATGTCTCCTGCCCATTTTTTAATTGAATTATTTGTTTTTTGAGTGTTGAGTTTTATAAGTTCTTTATATATTTTGGACACTAACCCTTTATCAGATATATCGTTTGTAAATATCTTCTCCCATTCCATAGGTTGTCTTTTAGTTCTGTTGATTGTTTCCTTTGCTGTACAGGAGCTTTTTATCTTCATGAGGCCCCAATAGCTTATTTGTGCTTTTGTTTCCCTTGCTTCAGGAGATATATCAAGTAATTGCTAAGTAACTGCTGTGGCTAATGTCAAAGAGGTTGCTGCCCGTGTTTTCCTCTGGGTTTTGATGGTTTCAGTAAATTTAGGTCTTTCATTCGTTTTGAATTTATGTGTGTGTACAGTGTAAGAAAGTGGTCCAGTTTCATTCTTTTGCATGTGGCTGTCCAGTTTTCCCAACACCATTTTTCGAAGAGATTTTTTGCATTTGGATATTTTCTCCTTTACCAAAGATTAATTGACCATATCAATGTGGGTTTATTTGTGGACTTTCTATTCTGTTCTATTGATCTATGTGTCTGTTTTTGTGCCAGTACCATACTGTCTTGACCACTGGTTTTGTAATAAAACCTGAAGTCTGGAATTGTGGTGCATACAGCTTTGCTTTTCTTTATCAGTGTTGCTTTGGCTTTTCAGGGCCTTTTGTGGTTTCATACAATATTAGGATTGTTTGTTCTAGCTCTGTGAAAAATGCTGTTGGTATTTTGATAAGGATTGTATCAAATGTGTAGATTGCTTTGGGTAGTATAGCCATTTACACAAATTTGTTCTTCCAATCCATGAGCATGGAATGTTTTTCCATTTCTTTGTGTCATCTTCAGTTTCTTTCATCAATGTTTTATAGACATCGGACCACAAGTCATTTACGTCTTCGGTTGGGCTTATTCCTAGGTATCTTACGTTTTTTTTCACAATTGTAAATGTGTGATTGATTCTTTGATTTCTCTTTCTGCTGCTTCATTACTGGTGTATAGAAATGCAACAGATTTCTGTATTTTGATTTTGTATATTGTGACTTTACTAAATTTGTGTATGAGTTCTAGCAATTTTTTGGTGGAGGTTTTTTTGGGGTTTTCTATATAGAATATCATGTCATAGTGAATGTTTGAATATTTCTTTACTGATTTGAGTGCCTTTTATCTATTTCTGTTGTCTTATTGCTGTGGCTAGGATTTCCAAGACTAACAGGGGTTAAATAAGAGGGGTGAGAATGGATATCCCTGTCTTGTTCCTCAAAAAGTTAAAAATAGAACTACGTTATGCTCCACAAATTGCAGTGCTAGATATTTACCCAAAGGATACAAAAAATACTAATTTGAAGGGATATAGCATCCTAATGTTTATGGCAGCATTATATACAATACCCAAATCATGGAAACAGTACAAATGTCCACTGACTGATGGGTGGATAAAGAAGTGGTAGATCTATACAATGGAATATTAGTCAGCTATAAAAAATAATGAAGTCTTGCCATTTGCAATGACATGGACAGAGCTAGAGAGCATAATGCTAAGGTGAAATAAGTCAATCAGGGAAAGACAAATACCATATGATTTCACTTATATGTGGAATTTAAAAAATAAAACAAATGAGTAAAGAAAAAGAGAGAGACAAACCAAGAAATAGACTCTTAGCTGTAGAGGAAAAAAAATGGTGACTACCACAGGGGAGGTTCCTGGGGAGACGAATTAAATAGGTGATGAGGATTAAATTTTGTGATGAGCACTAGGTGTTGAATGCAAGTGTTGAATCACTAAACTGTACAGCTAAAACTAATATTACACTATATATTAAATAACTCCAATTTAAATAAAAACTTTTGAAAATTACAATAATGATTTTGCATAGATTAATTAACAAAAAAGTATGTCATCAAAGAATGGTTTATTTCTAGATTATATTGGTGCAAGTTAATCCTGGGGAGACCCTCACCCTCAAATCTGATGATGGGAATATTCAGAATATCCAAGGTCAGTAAAAGTATAATCAGGTGTGTATTACTTGAAAGCAAATAGATTACTAGTAACCTATTCCATTAGTATCCTTTCCTGTCGTAGCCAGATGGAATGCTCTTAAATTTATATAGTCCTCACAGGAGGATAATATCAATAGAACAACCAGGGCTAGTCTTACTAGAAATCTTCATGTAAGTTATTCTTTTTAAAATTGAAGATTAATTGAAGAATTCCATTTGAAAAAGTTCATATTTCGGATATATTGATGGCCACTGAAAGTTTTAGATTATTCTCTTATTGGAGGTGATTACTGAGGTCTTCAGAGAGTGATTCATTCATACATTCAAATATTTCTTTAGTATTTGTAAAAAATAAAAAATAAAAATAAAAAAAAAAGCCTAAGTGTCCATCAACAGATGAATGGATCAAGAAGATGTGGTTTATCTATACCATGGACTACTACATGGCAATGAGAAAGAATGAAATCTGGCCATGTGTAGCAACATGGATGGACCTTGAGGGTGTTATGTTGAGCGAAATAAGTCAGGCAGAGAAGGACAAATATCATATGTTTGCACGTATAGGAGGATTAGGAGGAACTTGACGGAGGAACAAGGGGGAGAAGAAGGGGGGAAATGGTGGGGGAAAGGGAGAGAGGCAAACCATGAGAGACTCTTGAATGCTGACAAAAACTGAGGACTGATGGATGTGGGGGGAGGGGGGGATGGGCATAGAGGAGGACACTTATGGGGATGAGCACTGAGTGTTATGTGGAAACTAATTTGACAATAAACTATTTGTAAAAAATAAAAAAATAAAAAAATAAAAAAAAAATATTTCTTTAGTGCCTATCATGTTCCAGTACTATACTAGATATTCAAAATACAACAATAGACAAGAGGAGGTTAAATTTCTTATATATGCATATTAATTTGCTATATGCATATACATATAGAACTGATTCCACTGCAATATAAAATTAATATTTATGTCCTATAAGATTTAGTATTATTTCAAATTGTGATGACTGTTTCTATTCTTACGCCAATTATTGTGTATCCTGAAGAGCCTTAGACCTATGTCTCAAGAAAATTTTTAAGTATTATCATTTAGCAATGGATTCCATATAGCTGCTATATAAATTTTATTGCAAACTCATATTTATTATTTTCCCAATTATTAAAAGTAAATTGCCATTCTAGGACTTGAGAGCCACATATATTTTTTAAACTAAGCATTAATTATAATAACCTCAGATAGACAAAAGAATGATGACTCATAAAAGTTTCTATTCTGTGTCGGATTTTTAGTTCTTATGCAATTGTATGTATAAGACAGTAAGAATACCTGGGATAAAAATAGGGCATCACATGAGTAGTATTGGGTCCTTCTCTATATTATTCTGTTTTCTAAAATTTATGTCACTTTACTACTAGCAATGAAAAGCTTAAAATTTAAATATATAACATCACTATATGAAATATATTTTATGGTTCATAGTAAAACTATTACTCAATATATACATAAGTAAAAGTACAATTATACGTGAAAGCTGATAGTTCATTTTTACTAGCAGTAAAATCTGCCAACATTTTTATAATATGAATTTTACCCAATCCACATTATATGCTTTATTTTCCATCATTTGTGATGAATTTGCATTGATTCATCTACATTCATACCTAGTTTCCTTTGCAAGTAAACAACTTGCACTTTCAAAATGGCTGGCTATTGTTAAACTTTGGGGCTAGTTTTCACTGTGAAAAGTTAAATGGACTTTGTTTAAAGTTATTAAAGAATTTATTAATAAAATTCTCTTTTAGGTCCCGCTGATGTACCTCTAATGTCACCAAGTGGCACTTTGCCACCAATATATCTTCCTCTTGGTTACATGTCTCAGGTATACTAGTATGTTTTTATTTAATATTTAGCACTAAGGCATCATTTAACAGTTATTTTTATGTCACTATATGATAAGAGAATTTCTGGAATACTATTTAGTTGTTCATTTTATTGTTATCATCATTACTAAAAAGCAATTGCAGTGATGCTTATCCAAATCTCCCTTAGATTGTCTTGTAAATAATGCCTTATTCATTTAACAAATGTTTATCTCTTCATACTTATTAATCCTCTATTTTTTTATTTCTGAGTACCTTAACCAATCTTAATTATTTATTACAATTGCTGCAGTAATGGTTTCCGATTAGTCCCTAAAATTACTTAGTAATTACTTAGTATTTTCAGTTCAGTAGTATTTCATTCTCAGATACTGGACAACAAAGAGCACTTTTTACAAATTCTTCAAATATTTACTAAGCACTTAAATAAACAAGGAAGTTTGGCTCCTATAGATATTAATAAGATATTCCATGGCCTCAGAAATTTTATAATTGAAGATGTGTCTTTTTCTATTGCACAACTGTGGAAATCAAGAACATGCTAAATAAGTCAATATGGTTTGACTCTAAATGGAATTATCTATTTCAACAATACTTAACAAAATTACAAATGCATATACTTTTTCACTTAGCAATTCCACTTTGAGGAATTTATCTTACAGATATATTTTTTATAAATTTGGAATAATAAATGTACAAGATTATTCATTACAATATTGTTTTAATCACAGAAGGCTGGAAACAACCCACATGCTTGTCAAAGAAGGATTGTGTATAATGGAGGACATCCATATAATGGAGTACAATGCAACTATGCAAAAAAGTGGAGAAGTTCTATGTAATGATATAGAAAGATCCTTAAGATATATTGCTAAGTGTAGCACTCTCCACAATAGCTAAAACATGGAAAGAGCCTAAGTGTCCATCAACAGATGAATGGATCAAGAAGATGTGGTTTATCTATACCATGGAATACTACATGGCGATGAGAAACAATGAAATCTGGCCATGTGTAGCAACATGGATGGACCCTGAGAGTGTTATGCTGAGCGAAATAAGTCAGGCAGAGAAGGACAAATATCATATGTTTGCACGTATAGGAGGATTAGGAGGAACTTGACGGAGGACCAAGGGGGAGACGAAGGGGGGAAATGGTGGGGGAAAGGGAGA